GGCTTATTTCCCCCGTGCACCCGTTTCGCTTAACGATCTCTTGCCAGATTACGAGCAATTACCCGCCCAACGTCACCGACGTCCAAATTACCCATCGTCAAATTGTCACGTTGCACTCCGGTTGTTCGGCCCACGCAATCGAACTTGCCTTGCCCACCTTTTATCATCACGATTCCACTATAGACATGACACAGGCCATCACCCACCTGCTGCCCCCCGATATGGGTACGCCCACAATTTGGGCCGACCTAGCTCAGCTCGCCGCGCGCCGGGGCGATCCCACAGATCTTATTCCCGCCTCCATTCTCCCGCCGAAGCTTTACGAAGACCATGACCTCGACATCGCTTATGACCACCTGACAGACGCGATAACCAACAGCAGACAGATTCTCGACGCCAATGCCCAACCACCCAATGCGTTCGCGCTTATATGGTGTATAACAGTAACAGTAACTGCGATATCTCTCATACGTATTATTGGCTGGAGGCGGACCGCTGCTTGCGGTTTATCTTTCGCTCCGTACTGGCGAGTTATACCCACGGCGGATGAAACGCAGAAAAATACACGCATATAAAACTCGTCATGAACGCCTTTCGTAGGTATCATATCCGCGCGCCCGCAGAAACATTAACATCACTTCACATATGGCAAAACAGACAGGCACATAATAATGTGCAGTGGATGATATTACTGTCACAAATATTACGAACAAAAAGCGGCTACGCAGTATATATATCGAGTCATTTCGTTTAACTTGCGCACCTGCCTATCTCTGTCACCGCATGCACGTTGTGCGTTTATGTATTGTGTAATATCTTCTATCATGTATTATGTAGTTCTGTATTATCTATCATGTATTATGCAGTTCTGTAGTACTGGACTTAAACCACCAAACGTAAATAATTATCATTGTCACGCGCTCTATCCCTGCTGCATCCAATCTAATTGCTAACAATTTGCTTGAGGGACTTTAATTTGGGCGCTGCGCACGTGGAATAGTACGACGATGATGATAGTTTTATGCGCATGCGCTGCTCTCGCACATTACTAGACGCCAGACCGGCGAACGCGAAATTACGAAATAAAATCGCAGATTAGAAGCGAAATGACGTGACACACATGCAAGAAATAAAAACCCTCACCGATGCTCGCATAATTCTACATAGAACTGGGCATCCACCATTATGTTATCAATTAGCGTGACATAAACGTAGGAGAAAATTGTAATATTGGTTTCGATCCTCGGTTGGCGAGACAGAAAACTAGGAGAAATATATGTGCAAATGCTTGTGCATTATTATGTGAAATATAATGTCCCCGTAAGACGCTACATGAAACTAAAAAATACAATTCTGCATAACTTCAAATAACCGCCAAATGAACAACACAAAATACTGCGAAACAGCTTCACTCGTTCGTTCCCCACATAGCGTGATATTAAACTAGGAAATAAAATCCTGCCTCATGCGGTAAATGACGCTGATGGGAATAAGAAAACATATAAACTCCCCGCATTAAATATGAATGCTCATAGCTTATGAAATTTTTCTTTATCAGGCGGAATGACGTCACGTAATGACGTCACATAGACTTGCCTTGCAGAGCGCCCCTTTGTAGGAAATACTCGTGTAGTCGAAGTAGACGGTGCAGTAGGCGAGCATGCATCCAATCAGGATGATGCTGTTGATGTTTGGTGAAGACATTTTCCACAGTCTGCGAGAAATAAATACATCGTTTGATATCTCCGTCGGTTTGTTTCGCATTGACGAGGAGATCCGAAACATTCTGAATCCAAACTTACAGTCCGGGTATATATGTTAGCATAAGGCCCACTGTGGAATCTCATAATTATTTTAGTTTCCTTGTAGGAATCCATAGTTTGAAACATAGTTAATTAGATAGTAGTTAAAAGGTAGTACTTACAGGCGTAGTTAAAGATAATTCAGAAATTCTATAGTTACCGCTAGTTCGTTTCTATTTCCGGTGATTATGACGCTTAGGGGCGTAGTAGTTAATAAATCAGACTGTGTATGTTAGCGCGGTTGAAAAAAAATTATAATTTTTTTACATTGTTAAGTTGATACTGGCTTATATTTCATTCCGGCGACAAAGTTTTTTTGTATGACGCACGTGACGCTTTTTTTACGGTTCACAGCTTGAAGGCACTTACTTGTGCTTCCTATAAGTCACGTTGCACGCGAGAAAAAAGATGGCGAGCGTGACGCCAGAGGTTGCCAGCACGCAGGCGGTGACGTAGGTGACGCGATTTACGACATCTAGCTGTAGCACGAGTATAACCGAGTCTCTCGAGGTCTCCACCTAGCGCATCATTCAGCAATCACACACAGAAATAACGAAATTAATTAACCAACTATAACTAATGCATTCTATGAATGCTCTCATGTATTCGTAGTAACATCGTGCGAACATTCCGAAAGGAGGCAGGAAATATCATGTATATGTGTATTCCGGGAACGCCATGCACGCATACAGAGTGGAGGCAGGGAATATCATGGATATGTGTATTCCGGGAACGCCATGCACGCATACAGAGTGGAGGCAGGGAATATCATGGATATGTGTATTCCGGGAACGCCATGCACGCATACAGAGTGGAGGCAGGGAATATCATGTATATATGTATTCATATATACTATGTATAATATCATGTATTGTAGTATTACGGATATTTCCTACCTTGAAATATTATGGGTACGTCATCGTACCATTCAAAGTAGGCTGGCATACCTTCGACTGGTGGAAAGCTGTGACCGATGGTTTTCACCCCGTAATTCACAACTATAATAAATTAATAAATAAATAAATGAATGAATGAATAAATGAATGAGTAAATAAATAAATAAATGAATGAATGAATAAATGAATGAATGAATGAAGGAATAAATAAATGATTGAATAAATGAATAAATGAATGAATGAATGAATAGATGTGCAAATGAACGAAGAAACGTACGATTGATTGCTTGATTGATTGAATGAATGATGAGTGAATACATGAATTAATAAATAAATGAACAAACGCACGAACATAGAGGAATAAATGATTTAATTAGTTATTTAATGAAGAAATGAATAATAAATTAATAAACATAAATTAATAAATTAATAAAAAATGAATTATTGTCAGATTGAAAAGATTTTTTAATCGCTATATTCCTAATGAGCATATGAATTAAGATACATATAGCCGATATGAACTTGCTGAGGCATGACGAAACTATCGTATTGTGATATAGGTTAACCTTGAAGTTGACGAATTCGAGTGGTTTCTCGCACGTCAAGATTCTCGTCGAATTGCAGATACCCTCGCACACCCCAACCTTTCAGCTTTTTCATGACGTCATACATGACGTCCGCCATCTCTCGGTCTCCGTAGTGGAAATGTTCCAGACCACGGCCAAAGCCTGCAATAAAGTTTCTGTTATGCATGACAGCGTCAGAGTTTTTTGTTTTCTTAGTAAATACTAACAAAACATGACAAGTTATAAGTAAAGTATAAAGTAAAGTAAGGTAAAGTAAAGTAAGTATAAGCTAATATAATATAGCTAATATAATGCTAATACAAGTTATATTAATAAGCGATAAAGAACAAATGTTATTTCATTAGAAGATTTTCCACAATTCGCATGTTATAGTTGAGTAAAAATAAGCAGCGTTACCAGTTAGCATACACACGCAATTTAGCATAATAATGCGTGACGAAGCAGATATCGGCAACAAACCAAAAAAACCATGGCGACGCGTATCAACAACAAACACCTCGTCGTTCGAAGACCTGCTGTGATTGGTTGAGCATCATAGCCAATAGCCACACTGCGTCGTAGCACACGCCGATCCATTGGTCGAAGAACAGCTTCCGGCCGCCGGCACGTGACTCGTACTCTGCAAACACCTGATTGGTCGTCAGTCCAGAGATTCCGGTCCGCTCGTAAGGGTACCGCCAGTTATGTCCGAACATCAACGATCCGTCGGCAGCTGTCGCTACCTGCTCCGGGGAACAGCCGTGACGTGGTTCGTCGATCTGCCACCAGGTTTCGCCGAAGAACCCGGGTAGGATCCACTGGTAACGGCTGCCGTACAGCTTAGATTTATAGACCTGTAATCGTGGCAATCGAAAAAAGAAAATGACAAGGCGCTCGTGAGTGGCGGCTGCGTATATGCGCCGAAAATTAACAAGAGACTGTTTCCGTGATCGTCAATGAGGTTAGCCAAGCAGTTCACGGCAAGATGGCGTGCGTGTCTAGACCGGTATACATTACTTACACACGCGCGCACACACGCACGCACGCACGCACGCACGC